AAATTTGTGTCAATTTTTTCCCAGTCTGTTGTATCAGTTCTTTCATTTTCCCTGCCCTACACTCTACCCAAACTAAGGTCCCAAACGCAGTTCTTTATATCTACATCATCTGTTACCAACCAGCTCTCCCCTCTGTCCCCCAGATATATGACATTCACATTGGACTACATTCTCTGGTTCTCTATTGGATTATATCCTCTGGTTCTAAACTGTAGCATCTCTCTCCTAATAAATTATAATCTGAATGAGAGCAGGACCCATGTTTTATAGTGATCTTTGAGTCTTCCAAATGACATTGTTTTGTGCAAAATAATTCATGAACAAAAACTTGTGAATATCCAGATTTCTCTCATCTGGATATGAGATGAGAGAAATCTGGATATGAGATGTCTCTCAGTTTATTACCATAAGGATGTAAAAAGTCCAAATCTTATTAAGAGCCGTTCAAAAGAATTCTGACCGTACACCTGCTGTTTGTGAGGCAGCATGTCAGGTGAACCACGTAACAACACAACACGCATGTTCTGCTCTTGGCTCTAGAGAGACGGACAAAGTGAAAACAGACAGGCATCTGTGCTTATGAATGACAGACCTCTGAAGAGAATGAGCGGCACGGTCTGCCATGTGGTAACCTACGTTAAGTGGGTGAGCGGGAAAATTGGGAGAAGGAGACCTTTTAGCTGAGGTTGAAGAAAGAGAGGAAGCATGTGAAAAGTTAGAGGTTGTGTGTCCAGGCAGAAGGAACAATATGGGTAAAGGCCCAGAGGGTGGGGGAAAAAAAGAACCTTGATGCACTTAAGGAAATTAAGGAGGGCCCATGTGGGTGAAGAAAGCGAACCTGGGGCCTGTGACCCAGTGAGCTGGCAGTGAAGTCAGAGATCAGATCTGAGGCCAGTCCTTGGAGGCCTTGTTAAATGTGGTTTGTACTAGAAGAGGATGGGAAACCATTTAAAAGTTTCAAGCAAGGGAGTAGCATGCATGCTTTGATTTAGAATTTTAAAATTTCATTTTAGTTTCTCTGTAGAAAATTGATGATGTGGGGGAGGGACAAATAGGGAGATCAGGTCTCAGGTTATGGAACAGCTCAGATTGGAAGACGGTAATAGCAGGGCAGAAAAAGCTCATCAAACAGATGAGCTGGAGATACTTTCTGAAGGTTGATAGTAGAACTTAATTACTGATGGATTAAATGTAGGGAATAGAAAAAGAGAGGGAGGACTCAAGAATTACTTTCCGTATTTCTGGTCTGAACTGCTGGGCAGATACTGTTTTCGGGAATGACCAGGTGGAGAAATAGTTGAAATATGGTTTAGGACTCAGTGCTAGATAGTTATGTGCACCATGCCCATTGGACATCCAAGCAGAGATGTCGAGTAGGCAGTAAGACATATGAGTCTGGAGTCGAGAGAGAGGCCTAGGCTAGAGACATGAATTTGGGAATCATGACGGTATTTAGTGGGATTATTTAGCTGATATTTAAAGATACAGGAAATGGGTTAGAGCTCTTAAAGAAGGAGGAAAAGAGGGCTCAGAATGGAGCCCAGAGGTTTTGTAATACTTAGGGTGGAGAGAAAGAGCCAGCAAAGGAAACTCAAAAGTGGTCAGATAGGACGAGGGAAAGAGTCAAAAAAGTGTCATGAGAAGAAAGCCTTTCAAGAAGGAGCAATACTTCCTCTTGGTAACAGCTGAGAAACTGGGTGAGCCCATATAGGAATCTTCTCTACTGGGGAGGATTTCTTACCAGGGGTAAAAATCACTTGTGTTTTATCTTTTACACTTATTTGAGACCTTAATACATCTTTTAGCACACAGTGGGCACTTGAAGCATATTAATCAATGACACATTAATTGAATGACTGAGTATTTCAGTTCATTTGAGAGTGTGCAATAGGCATGAGCAGTTTTTTCAAAGTCCTTCTCTTATCCTGCCTGCACGCTCCCCACCCCTCACCTGATTCTCACACTTGCCAGCAAAACTGCTGACTGGGGAGACAGCAGCATCTTCAGGCTCTCTCACAGCAGTGTTAAATACCCTTTATTCCTCCTGATTTAGGAAAAGTAAACTGTTCCTCAAGACTTATAGGAAAAAAACATGGGGCTACCATAGTGGATGAGGTCATATACAGCTGTTTCTGAAAATGTCATGAAATCATAACCATAATCACCATCATAGAAATAAGTCCCTGCCCCATCAAATGCTTTACTGTCCACTACTCTTAATTACCCTGTGAAAGAATTGTGTTGAGTGAGTTTCCCTGCATAAGATTTTGGTGAAAGAAGGGAAAGAAAGAGGTCTGAGTTCATATCAGTGGCTCTGATGCCCCCGGGGCCAGGAGGGTGTAAGTGGGAGGACCTTTGATATACCTGCTTCCCAGGTCCAACTAGAAACTTTGTGAATCTGCCTGCAATGCAGGAGACCTTGGTTTGATCCCTGGGTCAGAAGATCCTCTGGAAGAGGGCATGGCAACCCATTCCAGTATTCTTGCCTGGAAAATCTCATGGATAGAGGAGCCTGGGGGTTACACAGTCCATGGGATGCCAAAGAGTCAGACATGACTGAGCAGCTAACACTTCTTTAGGTCTCAACTAGAAATTTTGTGACAGCAAGCTAGAGGTACTGCTTATTTCAGAAAGATGAGCTAATTGTAGAATTGGATTGAAATTGGCATGTCAATCTACCCAGAAACAAAAATGCCCTGAGTGGAAAAACAGCAGGACCATTTACCATGGGCCCTTAACGCTACTTTTCTGGAAGCCATTTCATTTCATGTTTACAATAGATTTATCACTCACCATTATTTGCCTTTTAATTACCTTATTGAAAATACTAAGAGAGGATTACTATTCCCCTTGTTTTATCTGTTGACAGAAGAGTAAAAATAATTGGGTTGGGTTTGACTAGAATATCCTAACATTCCACAATATCTCAAACTCCAGCTGTCTAAAATTTAATCTACCATTGCCCCCCACCTATACTCTCTCTCTCTCTCTCTCTCTCTCTCTCTCTCTCTCACATACACACACACACGCATAACCTTATTCCCCCAGTGTTTTTCTCTGTGAATTAGAATCATATTTCCAGATCCCAAACTTGAAACTTGGGCAGCCTGACTCCTTCCTCAGCCCCACATTCCTATTTACCAATACTGTCACCTAATTCAGTTGTTATTTAGTTGCTAAATTGTGTCTGACACTTCTAAACCCCATGGACTATTAGATAGCCTGCCAGGCTCCTCTGTCCATGGGATTTCCCAGGCAAGAATCCTGGAGTGGATAGCTATTCCTTTCTCTAGGGGATTTTCCAGATCCAGGGATTGAACCTGGATCCAGGGATTGATCCCTGGATTGAACCCTTGTCTCCTGCATTGGCAGGTGGGTTCTTTAGCGCTGAGCATTAGGGAAGCCCCAGTCATCAAATTCTGTTGGATTCTGTCCTCATATAGCCCTTGAAACTCTTTTTTCCTGCTCCTTCCTAGTTCAGGCCACTCTCATCTCACCACTCATTACTGCAGAAGGCTGCAAAGTTAGGTTTTCTGTCTCCAGTGTTTTCTTCACACTTCTGAAACCCACAGCTGACCAAGACCAGTCCTCCAACAGCTGCCTACTAGCTCCAGCATAGAATTAAACATTCTTAAACTGGTTTAGGAGGTTCACAACGTGTCCCCACCTCCCTAGCCAACCTCATATGGTGCTATCCTGTGTGGGGGCCACTCACCACTCCAGCAAAGGCCACCTCTTCCCATTGCTCTACCTGGCCCTGCTGTCCTTCATCTCTTCTCCCAAAGTGGTTAGCCTAACACCTGCTTCTCCTTCAACTCTAAGTGTCCCTAAAACATCCAGAAATTTCTCCAGTCAATAAACATTTGTCTGTCTACCACTTGGCTGAAATTTTTCCTGAAATCTTGTCCTGCCTTGTTCACTGTGGCATCCTGTGGGCTTGGCAAGATGCCTGCTCAATTAATATGCTAAGTAAATGAACAAGTATTTTAATCATGTGTCTACTTTTACAACTTGAGAGGTACTATTTCAATGTGGTTTTAATGCGCGCGCACACACACACACACACACACACACACCCTATTTGATGAAAGCTTTTTCTTTTATTTTCCGTTCCCCTCTCTAGGGGATTTTCCCGACGCAGGGATCAACCCCTGGTCTCCTGCATTGCAGGCTAACTCTTTACCATCTGAGCCACCAGGGAAACCCAGAGAATAACTAGACCTGAATCTCCTGCAAATACCACCCTAATCATGGCCATCCAGCTGCACTAGAAAGAAACCCGAGGTACACCTGCCTTACTTAGGACAAGAGTCACACCCAGTTTAGTGCGGTGGTTCCCGGCACGTTCAGAGGCCCATTATGGTGTCTGTATCTTGACCTCAGCAATGGCTAATGTATCCGGTGGAACTGAGCGGACGTGTGGAAAGGGGCAGCATCACGAACCAGAGGGAAGAATCAGTCGAAATGAGGCAAGTCAGTGTTCCCTTACCCCAACCTGGCCCTTGAACCGAACCACAGCCTATACCGTCTGCCCCTGCCAGCCTTTCAGCTAGAGCCGCTGCTCCAAGCAAGCAGCCCGGACTAAAGAGGAAGTAAGGGGAGGAAGGAAGTGGAAGTCTTAAAGCGATTACCATAACGTCTTTTCCACCAAAATGTACCTTGGGGGCCTTCAGGGAGTGGTTTTGTGTGTGTGTGTGTGTGTGTGGGAGGGGGTCCCCTGGTTAATTTCTCTAGTGGTTGCTTATTAACCCCCCGCCCCCCAAATCAGGTGTAGTGCTGAATTATCAGCGAAGGTTCAGGACGGTTCCCTTCGCAGTCCATCTGGTGCCCAGGTTTGTGGCTGGCCTCTGGGCCACACGGGGCAGGCGGAGGAGCCTCTGCGCTCATAGTGGGGCGCGCGCGGTCGGTAGGATCGAGGCTACGCAGCTAAGTATCTAGGCCCCAACCGCGGCTAAAAGGCAAAGACCTGGCCCCTTCCAGCTCAACTCCTGCAGTGCCAGGAGGCCCGGCCTGGGCGCGCGCTGCGCAGCCAAGGTCCCCTAGCGCCCCCTACAGTCACGCGTGCCGGGAGTCAGCGCTGGGTCCTGCGACTCCGCACCACGCCCGGTACCCCACCCAGAGGCCCGCGCCCCGGGACTCACGATCACCGCACCTCCCGGCTGCAGAAACCCGCGTGGGGCTCGCGGGCGCGTCGCATCCCTTGCCACTTCGGATTGCTCCGCCCGCCGCAGCCAGACTTCCCCTCCCTCCCTTGGTCCCTGCCCTCCTCCCTCCCTTCTTCGCTCCCGCCCGCCGGCGCCGGACACGCTGAGCCTCTTCTCTTGGGGCGCTCTTCCCCTCGGCCAGCCGTCGCATCCCGCGCAACTTGGGGACGGACGGTGGCGGTTCAGTGTTGAATGTTCCCCTCCGAGAGCGCATGGCTGTGGAAGCGAGGCGCGGGCCGGGCCCCCGCGGGGCCGCCGTCTGGGCGGCGGTGATGTTTCTGTTGTGCTCGGGAGTCCCGAGCGGGCGCCCCTACAACGTGGACACAGAGAGCGCGCTGCTCTACAAGGGACCCCCCAACACCCTGTTCGGCTACTCGGTGCTGCTACACAGCCACGGGGCCAACCGATGGTGAGTAGGGTCGGACGCGGGAGCCTCTGGCATCTCAGAGCGGCTAGCAGAAAGCCCCAGGGATTCCCTGCCTGGTTCAAACTTTCCTCTGTAGAGAAGGCAGGAGGGAACCCAGCTCGCTGGCGACGTGCTTGGGAAACGAACTCATCTTGGGGTGGCAGCAGCCGGGTGCGTTCTGGCGCCAGGCCCTGAAGTTCGGGGTGGCGGGTTGAGTGCTGGGGTGGTGGGCGGAGGAAGAGGTGGCGGGAGCGGCCCGGCTGCCTCTGGGGAGACCCGGGGTTTAGTGGGCAGCAAGGCTAACATCTGCGCTCACGTGCGCGTTTCTCTTCTTAGGCTCGTAGTCGGGGCGCCCACTGCCAACTGGCTCTCCAACACTTCAGTGGTCAAGCCTGGGGCGATTTACAGATGCAAGATTGGGAAGAATCCCGCCAGGACCTGCGAACAGCTGCAGCTAGGTGAGTGGGGTCTGGGGACGGGAGCTAGTGAGCCTCACCCCACTCGTGTGGACCCCACGGTAGACAAGTCCTGGGAAAAATGAGAATATTGCCTATTCTCATTTAAAGGGGATGATTTTCACTGTTAAGTCAACACCATGTTCCCTTCTTAACATAGAAGAGGGCTCCTTTCTGTCAGTGGTTTTCTCCCTTTTGCTTATGACAGTGATTGCAGTATTCTGACAAAACTATGAAGAGGAAAATTTCTTACACCTCCTCCTCCTTTTCACCTCTCCCTCCCCCCCACCCCCCACCATGTGTAAAACACATCTTAAAATCTCTCAGCACATTAATGACAGGATCCAGCGAAGCCAAGACTGGAGAATTTTATTTCCATCTTTGACCTATCAACCTTATTAAAGAACAGGCTAAGGGACAGATCAGGAATAGCAGTTGGAAGTGATCCCATACCCTGTCATTTAGCCCTAATGACTTTCTAGAAAAGAAAATAATATAGTTTTACTTAAGATATGAAATGTTAAAGGAGAGCACAGGAAAAAATTGGCATCTCCACTGTTAATATAATTATTAATAAAATGAGGCTTAATGTATCATTATTAATTTTTCTCTTCAAAAACTCTTGATTTCTTAATGTCTCTTCTTAGATTTGTGACAATTTGAAAAATGCATTCTGTTGGGGGAAGGAAGAAAATTCATATTGCAAAGTCAACAGCATATTTGCTTTGCACAGACACATGGGGGAAGAAAGGGGAACTAATATTAATTCAGACCCTATCTTGCTTCAAACATTGTTAGGAACTGCCATATATGTTGCTTCTTTTCCAGAAAACAACACTGGGCCATGGGTGGCATTGTTCTTACTTTACATGTGAGGACTCTGTGGTTCAGAGTGTTGCAAGGACTTTTTGTAAAGTTACTCAGCTAGTAAGTGGAAGATGGGACTGCAACTCAAAGTCAGGCCTCAGTTCAGTTCAGTCGCTCAGTTGTGTCTGACTCTGTGACCCCATGGACTGCAGCACGCCAGGCCTCCCTGTCCATCACCAACTCCCGGAGCTTGCTTACACTCATGTCCATCCAGTAGGTGAGACCATCCAACCATCTCATCCTCTGTCATCCCCTTCCCCTCCAGCCTACAATCTTTCCCAGGATCAGGGTCTTTTCCAATGAGTCAGTTATTTGCATCAGGTGGCCAAAATATTGGAGTTTCAGCTTCAGCATCAGTCCTTCCAATGAACACCCAGGACTGATCTCCTTTAGGATGGACTGGTTGGATCTCCTTGCTGTCCAAGAGACTTTCAAGAGTCTTCTCCAACACCACAGTTCAAAAGCATCAGTTCTTTGGCACTCAGCTTTCTTTATGGTCCAGCTTTCACATCCAGACACGACCACTGGAAAAGGCCTGCTTGGGTCCAAAGTCCAAGCCATTTCCTGCCTTGTGTACATCTTCAATGCAAATAAAATCCATTGAAGAGTCCAACATAGTGTCTGCTGAGCTGGTGAGTCACCTGTGAATGGTGAATAAATGGTTATACTTAGTACCTTTTTCCTGTTTATCTTTATTATCCATGGGCTCTGGGCATAAGCTAGTCACTGCATCTTTAATACCCTCCCTTTTTTTCATAGTAGTCTTTGCTTTTTCTCAAACTGGAATACTGCTTCCTTCATTGACAGTGAATTCAAATACAATATGCACTTAATGGAATTTTATTTTTTACTCAGAGAGCGTCCATAAGAATTTAGAAGTTGTCTGCACTGCTTAAAATAAGTCCCACCCTCTTATTAAGCATCTTCCATCCCAAAAGACAGACTAGGAAAGCATAACACATTCGCAGACCTATCCATTTGGAATAACTCTGCAAAGCATAATTGTCTTTGCCTAAGAGACTTGTGGGATGAAGAATTAGGGAGCAGAGCATACAGCTTTGATCTGCCAGAGGATCTTGACAAGGTCTCAGGAGGGAAATGTTTTATTTTGTTGTCCTGTCATAGTTTCCTGATTCATGACATTACAACCACTGGTATTTATCCCCTACTTCCTGTCTGGAATGGCACTGAATCTATTTCTAGATGTCTGTATTTAACTGGAAAGATCCTGTCACAATATTGTATTAAAATTTAAGATAATAAAAAAACAATCTGTCAAAATCGTAGGAAAACCTAAATTCTTTGGACACGTGGAACACAGGAAGTGACTATAGAAATATCCATGGAGAAATGTGCGCGTGGTAGGTGTATGGCAAACATGCATTAAGTAAAGATTTATTGGATGGATAAATGAACAAAGCATAGTCAAATCTTGATTGTTATCAACCTGGTTGGTAAATAAAAGAATTAACTAGAAATGATAAGTCAAAGGGATATTTTCAACTTAAAAATTTTTGATTAGTAAAAAAGGTATTTACTGAGGTGAAAGGCAGACGACAAGATTTCTAGTCAGTCAACTGGTAGAAACACTGATGGCTATGGGAATAGAACATTTGCACATCTTTGAACATTTGCAAAAGAGTTGACTGAAATTACTTCTCACATAACATTTTAAACAATGTATCTTCCTTATATGAAGAAACTGTATGTTTCAATTCAGAGCAATCTCAGAAGTAACTTGAAGCTGTAAAATAAGGGATTGAGGATAATGTTTAAAAAGTTAATACTGAAAACAATAAATTGGTAACAAAAGGCTTTTTAAAATTCTCAGGTTTGTAGATTATGTAGTATTCTTTATGAAAAATTGTCAAGGAAAAAATATACACATACACACACGATCATCTGTATAAGATGGTTTTAGTTGTTCTGTCTCAAATGTATGGACAGTGCTTAGCTCACTGTCTTACATTTAACTGACATTCAAAAAGTATTTATTTTTATCTCTGTCTTCTACTTAAATCCATATCTGCATGTTATCTGTTGTATCATGGTGAGGTTATAAATATAGACAATTAATAGATGAAACCAAAAGTTAAATGTATAAGTGAAAAGATAACAGTTGAAACACAGTGGTTGTTGGCTCAACCAAAAATATAATATCTAAATATTGAGCTATGATATCCATGTCATAAGATGTTTTCTTTCATTTATGTCCTAAGTGCTATCAAAGAGATGAAGTTGAAAGATCTCTTAAATAGCGCTCATCTCCTACACAATTCAAAGTGCTGTATACATTGACTAGTCTTTAGGTCTAACAATTCCAAAGTTTCATTTAGATAGATTCCTTCCTTCAAAAAAGGATGTCAATAACCTTCCACCTTCCTCCTAACCCCCCTTCCCTGTTGCGCATAACATTGTCCCATACTGTGGTATGTTCAGCGTAGTCGTAATCAGAAGTGAGCAGCAAATGCCTGTTTATCTCAAATGTTCAGGGGATGAGATGTTGAGACTCAGGTACCCCTTTTAGTGAAGTGAATTGACTGGGGAAGAAATGTATTTCTCCCTGCGTGCAGACAGGCTCCTTCCACCTCCCTGCCTACCTAAGGGGTATTTTCCTGCTCACTTCCTTGGTACTGCCCTCTGTGAACCAGGGGAAGGTAGTCTGCCAATCAGGAGGTCTGAATCCAAACTTGTCTGTGAAGACTCTGTGTCTGGGGAGGTCATAGTGATTTCCACAGTTTCAGTTGCTTTTCTACTCAGGTGCTCTGTATCCTTGCTAGGTTTTTTTAAAAGGAAACTTTGAACACAGTTGGTTGCTAAATTAAGGCATTACAAGTAATGACTTTGTTTATGTATTTAATGATAGTCCATTCATGATCACCAATATTTGAAGATAGAAGATAATAAAATATGTAAATGACTATAAAATTATATTTAAAAGATTGTCTTTATTTCATCTTTCAAAAGACATACTCTCTAGATCTTTCATTACTTTTAATTTGCTGCCAATAGCTTTATACTGATAGCTACTAATAATATTATACATGTGTGTTTGTATGAACATGCAGACTTGAACAAACACACACTTGTCTGGATAATAAAAGTTATAATTTTGTTAAATAATGTACATGTATACAAAATATATAAAATTATATAATTATTGTCTAATACAGTAGCCTACAAGCTACATGTGGCTATTGAGTACATGAAATGTGGTTAGTTTGTAGTAAGAGGTCCTATAATACAGATTACATCTGGATATTAAAGACTTAGTACAAAAAAATTCATACGTGTGTGTATATATATATATATATATAATCTCTTGATTTTTTAGGTGTTGACCATATGCTGAAATAAACAGTTTGAAATTAATATCAATTGCATATTTAAATGAGAATATTTTAGATGCATTCAGTTAAAGAAAATATTAATATTAATTTTGCTTATTCCTTGTTACATTTTAATGTGACTCCTGTAAAAATTATTTCACATGTAACTTGCATTATGTTTCTATTGGAGAGCACTGTTTTAGGAAAACATAACTTCCCTATGTAAAATAACCCTGACTTTTTAGCAAGTACTTTCCCAATGTCTATATGTAAAATGAATAGGATTTTCACTTTTCTAGACCAGTGTCGTATAATTACTAGACCTTTAAGCTCCCTTCTTGTCCCTCTTTTCCTTACTAGAGAGAACAATGGTTTATTACAAGTTAATCATCATTATTTCCCTTCATATTTCTTTCTGGAAATTATATAACCTTAACCAGCCTCCTGATTTATATTACATTACCTATTTGGAAGAGGTTAAGTTAATTAGCAGCTGTGTCATTTAACGATTACCTCATTCACACTTCTGCCTGATTTGTAGGAATTATTAGCTTAACATTAAAAGACAAACCACTCACTGTTGAAACATCAAATATGTTCCTGATAACTTTTTTTTTCTTATTTGCAATACTCTTTAAATTGTAGCTTATGAAGCTGATGTTGACACAGACTGGTCATTTTGAAAAATCATCATTGAACAGAGGTTTGTTATGCTAATTATGCACAAAATTAAGACAAAGAGATTAATGAATAAACTATCATATTAAAAGAATTAAGTTTCCTGGTTTCCAACAATTTCCCAGACTC